TATATATATGAATGTATAGGAATTCATGTATAATGTGTGCATGTGCATGATGATGAATGAATACGAACAAGTAAAAGTATGTCATAATTTATGCGTCTATAGTCAGTTGTGAGATGTAACTCGACGGTTACGAACTCTTTGGATTAAAGCGTTTCTTCTGAGTTCTAAACGTTCCTCTTGTGCTTTTAAAACACAAGCGAGCGAATGAACGAGTGAACAGACGGAAGGACGGCCGGAGGGACGGACACAGGAACCCATGCAAGAGACTTCAGTTCCTTGTACGCTCAAGTCATTGTGCTTGTCTTCTTTACGGCCCGAAATGGCGGGCTGTAACGATTTGAAAAGCTTCACGTTAGCTGTTACTACACGACAATAATAAGTACTGTAAATTTCAACTGAGATGCACGGACGCCCGGACGCCCGGACGCAAGGACAAAACTACTTCGTAATCATACCTTTCTTCCTATCTCAAGTCCAACGTTGTTGCCTGTGGCTACATCCAGTAACGGTCCCTTGCATGTGGAATACAACATACGCTCTTTTATGGAACATTTGTATCCCGGCATTGAATACACGAAAACTGCAATACAATGAAAACAAGACAGCAAGTTATCTACAGTTACAGTTTCAATTTCATGGCGGATCAGAGCCAGCGCGTTACTCTGGTTTCTGTGGTGACATAAGACCGTGTCTAAATAAAGTGTATGTCATTTCGATGTCTATGTCTATTAACAGCGTCGCTCCCCTCCCCGCCCCTTCTCTAACAAATCACTCTATACCAACTCTCCCGGATTATCTGCGAGTCTCTCGAATACAGAGCGAATCTTCTAGTGCTGGTCACCAAAGACGTTCTGGATACGAAAGATAGTGGTTAAAGTACACATTTTCAATCTTATTTTGGCCCATTAATTTCGGGAAATTTTGCGTGATATTTGAAGCGTTACGAGACTGAAACGACGGAACTCAATTCAGTAAGTACTACAGATTTTTGAATAAAAAACCCTCTTGTAACTCAGCGCAATATCTCCTGCTCGAAAGCTTTATGTGAAGGCAACTAAAGAAATGAAAAATGTTAAGTTCTCTCTCACCTACGGACTCTAAGAAGTCTCCTTCAAAAGTATGCTTAAAAAGGTAGAAAACAAAACGTCCCCTGTCGCCTGGGACGTGACCTGACAAATCGTTAGCAGCAACGTCGTCTTTTGTGTCCACAAGTACAATTGTTTCACTTGGTATATCAAGTTCCTGTAGGAGAGAGGAGGGATGTCACGAATGGACCTTTTTAACGCTGTCACGCTTTTCCGATTTTTTTCATTCAAACCTAAAAAAGTCTAACACTTGCAGCAGATTCTTATGAAACTTTCTTTGTTTACTAAATCTGAAAGGACAAATTATTGCTCTATAGAGGTGGAGTTTTGTTTATATGAAAAATAAGCAAAATTGTTGATATTGCGTGACATCGTCAAAAAAGTCTATTATCGGTGATCATTGAACGTAACGTAATACATATACTGCAGGTAGTCCTTAATGATTTGCGAAAGATTCAAAAGGTATAACCGACAAACTAAAGACTTTAAGCGGGGAACTTACAATGGCTCTTGCTTAAATGGTTTTGGTGAAACCCTAGTGTGGGATTTTTCATACAAAAGCTACTGAGCAGTACTTTCATGTGGTACTGTTTATTATGTTGTAATAAAGTCTGTGGGTGAAAACCTCCAAGCAGTACACTTTTAAGTAGTACATACATGTAACACTGCTGTTTAATATTATTTCTTACAAAATAAAATTTCGGTTTAAACTCTGATGTCTGACTTACTAATTGGACGAGGCTTAGCTTTTTCTCCTTCAGTTCAACTAGTTTTTCTAGAGCTTCATCAGTTAAGGGAAACTGGACACCAGTCATATGACTCTGTTTGCTATCCACACTAATATCTGCCCGCATCTGAAATAAAGGCAAATTTATTGCTTACTTTTATGCTAAGTTTAAAATAAAAGAAAATGCCCTTCCATTGTAAGTTTTATACAGTACACGGACTTAAGGTGATCTGTGCAAGCATCGAAAAGTATTCCTTATTGTTCGACACTCTACATTTTAAGTGTCATGAAACATGTAGCCTAAAATTCTGAAGTCTAACCTTGAACGCTTGCCACAAAAATGTGTGAAAACCACCAAAAAATGTCTCAAAAGCAATAAAATCAAGAAACAAATGCTCATAGGGCTGTTTACTATTGAGTGTCATAAAACCTAAAAAAAAGTAATCACTCTAGCTCGTCACAAAGGACACAGGGTCTATTATAATTTAGTATCACCCAAATAGTGGACCAATGCATATCAGCATTTTAATTGGCTACGCTACTAGAGGACTATTACAATAATTAGCAATAGTCCTTGAGTAGCAAAATTGGCACAATCAAACGTGACGCTTTCTTTAATTTTATTCCCAAACAAATATTTCTTCAACTTGCATTTGCTAACTTTATTATTACCTTTCCTGTCCGACTAGTTGGGTGATACTAAAGCAATTAGACCCTTTGCCCTCAAGAGCCACGGGTCTAATTGTTAAACAGTGAACCAAATCAAAATGCCAAGTAATTAATATCTGTAGCTGGCACAAAGTGCAGGAAAATGTGTGCCAGCAAGTCATAATTGAGTTTGGTTTTACTTCTGATAAGATGAAAGTGTGGGAGGAGTTTTTTTACACAAAACATGTAGCCTGAAAACCGCTTTAAGTCCTAACAATGTAAAAATTACTGCATGAAAGTTAGACAATGCCAATAAAGATAACAAAATTCCATTTTGGAAAAAAAACATGCATGTCAAAAGGCGGAAATGTGGTTGCCATGGTAACATCAAGTTCCAAGAACCACATAATGTCATACTAAATAAGAATTATCCCAGATAAATTTTTAGACCAAGTTGGAAAACATAAGCTGTGTTCTGTAAGTTAGCAGTCAAGTCTGAATGGGGTTAAGGTACAATATGAACTAGTAACAATTTAGAAAAGTCTGAACAGTAGAATGAAATCTCTAACCTCTTGTTGTTTGACCATTTCCAATTCCAGTTCTTGGTCTGTGAGAGGAGGAGGAGCACTCTCAGAAACTTTGTGTTTTTTAAATCCACTTAAAGAAACATCTGACTACAAGAACAAGACAACTTCATTAGAAAGCTCAAATTTAGTTTAAACTGTTAACTGCAGCCCAGAAGCAACCTTCATATGTGACTGTATTAGACCTACATGTAGGGCCTTCTGGTAGAGTGACACATTTAAGGGCTTATTAACGAAAACACTAGTGCAACCCCGGGGTTTCATTAAGGGCCTGGCATCGGGCAAATTGACCAGCTGTGAAGACGATTTTGCCCAGGTTATTTGACTACCTAGTGGAAAGTTTCCTGTATAATAAAGAATTTCAAATCAAATAGTTATGCCCACCTGTGAGAACCAGTTGCCCTCCTGCTAAAGACAAGAATGAAACCACTGGCAATGGCTAACAATTCAAGCTATGTGATACTACACTGTATGCCCTGATATCAGTCTGGTAAATGTGGGTTGGTAAATGTGCAGTTCCAGCAAATATCCATACGTCCCCCACAGAAGGGAATTTTCTAAGTCCCCACCCCTCTGGAAATTCCGATTGAGCTTCATACATTTCTTTAAATAGTTTGGTCTTACAGAACCCCCCACCCCAGGAAATTCCAATCCCTTCCTTGGGGGGAGTATGGATATTTTCTGGACCTGAACAATGCTGGTCCATACAGATGTACAATAAATTACATGTACAAGACGATTTACATAGAAAGCGAGTATTACTGTGGCTAACAGAGTTGTCCCACCTCTGAGACCACTGTTGAATGCAGACTTATAAATGGATTTGGAAAGTTAGTTTCCCAACTCAGTGACTATTATTTTTAGCTACACTAGTTAAACCTGATATCTTAGTAATTTAAAAGTTACACGTATGTGGGCTTGTAGTGTCATAAAGTACATGTAACTACTAACTGGAGGTACATTGCAGCTGTTGACTGTGGCTTCAGAGGTAATGTGTTTTGAAATCCTGATATCAACATGCAAAGCATGGCCTGATGTTTGAATGTAAACTTGCAAAGACAAGGTGGTCATCAACAATTTACATGCATAAGTAAGTAAAATAATATAACTTGAGGCAAAAATTATGTACACACCGGATGAGTACCAAAAATTTCATCTCTTATGTGACCTCCTCCAAACTCTTTCTTTAGAGTAGCTTTTGTGCCAGCAAACAACATCTTCCGCTGAGGCTACAAGGGGACGAAACACATTTTTAATTACAAGATTGCAGCCACCAGACTGAATGTTGCATATTGTACCCATCCTGTAATTAACCATCAAAACTGTCAAACACAAGGTGAACATATGGTGCATATAATTATGTAAGACGTAGCTAAGAAAAATCAACAAGTCAAAATGATTTCAAACTAGACAGTTTAATTTACAAAGTGTACTTTTCAAATATGGTGACACTAAATATGGAAGAAAAGAATATAGACTGTCTGATAAATCCAGTTAAGAACCACTTTGATCTCAAATCTATTTTAAATTAGTATAAATCTACTAGAGTTCTATCACAAATACCATTCGTTGATTGGTTATGCTACTCACTATCTATTCTGTTGTAGATAGTTAGTAGCGTAGCAGTGTGCACTTTTTAACAAAATGATGGATGTTTCTTTGCATTTTCAAGGCATCTGTGAAGAGGATTTAGATAAAGTATTGAACAACAAGACTTAGTAGATTTATACTAAAACAATAAGATTATTTGCTCTCGATTTCTATTGCAGGATAGTTGACTTGGGTTGCGCCCTTGTCAACTATCATGTGATAGAAATCTTGAACCTGAGCATAATGTAATCAATTGTTAATTAGAGAACTTGTCTAAAAGCCACATCTAAGAAAATTCATGCAATGTTTCTCCTCTAGATCTCCTATTAAGTCAAAATGTTCTTTTGCCAGTCTGAGTATTTCCTAATTAAAACCGGGAGATAAACTAGTTAATGCATTGCATCGCTCTTGAATTAAACTAAATCACACATGGAAATTCCATGATTTTGTTGTCTAATTTTTAAGCTTTCATTGATACTTCTTGTTCAATGTTTAATGTCATATTAACTCACCTTGGCAAAGTCAGGAGAGTAAGAGATGAACAGCCATTCATAGCCTTGATTATTTTTGGTGTCCAGGCGATAAAACAAGTAGCAAGGATCCTTCTCGTCTAACAGCGGCAGAATAGTTTTATCATAATGTAAACAGAGTCAAGGGCTAACTCATGCAAAATAACAAACTGCAAAGCATACTGGGTTACTGAACTGGGT